TCTCTCTCTCTCTCTCTCTCTCTCTCTCTCTCTCTCTCTCTCTCTCTCTCTCTCTCTCTCTCTCTCTGTGTCCAGTACTAACCTGTGAAGTTGGCGCCTTGATGCAGGTACCACGAAGATGGAGCTGGAGCGATGGGGCCACAGGTAAGTACCACTGGCCTCTGCCAGTATCTCTCCCACTCTACGATCTACCACCTACCAGCGCCCAGCGCTGAAGACTACAACTACAGCTATGGCGCCCAGTGCCGAAGACTACAGCTAGCGCTAATACTACCTAGCGCTGGAGACTACTGCAGCGCTCCTCCTGAGTGCTGCGGCCCAATCCTGAAGACTACTCGTGTGCACTGACCACTACCTACCCGTGAAGTGCCTAGGACAGTCCTATGTACTACCAGGGTGCCTCCTGACTGCTGGCGAGCAGTCCAGGAGGCTGCTCTTGCCAATGCCGATCGGAGGCAGGGGCTGCAGCTGCAGCTCCTGCTCGAGTTCGTGAGGAACAGGCTATTTCTGGCCTGTTCCGCATCCYTGTTTMCGTGCSTGAGTCTTAGGGSCAGGTCGAARCAATGAGGGCCTGAAAATGGCCCTCCGTTTCAGGCTGAAAACTCTGGGTCTGAAAAGACCCAGAAATAGGCTGACACGGGGTAGGGCCTGCAGGCCCTTGTTTTTCAGCTTTCAGGCTGAAACGACCGGGGCCTGTAAGCCCTAAATTTTAGGCTTTTAGGCTGAATGTCCGGGACGGGCCCTGCAGGGCCTGTGTGGCTACGCAGTATGCCACAACGGGCCACTACAGGAGTGCCCAAATCCAACTTGAAATGTTTCTACTGAATCTACTCTACTTTTTTTCCACAGTCGATAGCTGGGCCAAGTACTGGTGGTTTAATAGTGTGTTTGTAAAACAAATGTGAAAGAATAGCACACAAAAAGGATAGATTGGAGGGGGAGGGGGGGGGGAAAGGATGGATCACAAGACACATGGGGAAAGGCACCCTACGCCAACACGGGAGTTCTCAAAGAACCTGAACCACTCAAACCTTGGCAGTTGTTAGGTCACATGACACCACCTTGCCCCCAAATACCCCAAAGGCCCCTCAAATTCTTCCAGCCTCCACAGCAGGTGAAAACCCTAAAACTGTGAGGGGACCTCTGGAGGTTTCTCAAACCCCTCAAAAATGTGCGGAGGGAAAAGAGGGAAAGAAAGAGGGAAGGAGGAAGAAACAACATTGAAGAGGAAAAAAGTTCAAAAAATAGGGCATTGTCAAAATAAACAGCCAGCAAATATGTCATCATGGAGCCCATGGAAAAAAAAAAAGCATGTGTGTTTGGTGTGAAAAAAAGAAAAAGGAAAAAAGAAAAGGATAATTTATTAATTTTATGATAACTACCACCTTGTATCCACCTTGGCTTTTCCGAAAGGTTTGCATTGGCCTGTGACCCCCAAAATCCTTTCCTCAGACCACCAGATGATGGGGTTTTCAATCGTCACGTCAGTATACCCTTTTCTCCTGTTTCCTCGAGGAAGTCAGCCCAGCCCAGCCCAGATATCTCAAAAGAAAACAAACCCTTTGGCTTGTGCCGCCAGCCATTCCGGCAGGCAGTGCCCCGGAAGTTGCAGCGCGTTAACGGCCACGCCGGACAAAAAATGGCTGGGAAACGTACTGTTGGTTTAATGGGTCGCACTTAGTGCCAACCAGCTGTGATAGTCCACTTGATAACCCCTGATTGTTACCATTAGGGTCTATTACCAACTCGGGTGCGAGTGTGAGTGTTGGGTGTGGTGTTGTGGGAGAGTAATGGCCATAGCCAGTGCTGCTACTCGATGGAGTGGGGAAAGTAGATGGGAGGCGCTGCTACTGGCAAAATGATCAGTCTTTGTGTTAGGCGGTTCCCCCCACCGACGGCCCCCACCCTCCCCCCTGACCACCGCCGATTAGGGGGGGGGGGCAACATGCAGAGGACCCTGTATAGGCTGAGTAGTAGTAGTATGGTGAAATTGAGTGAAAAATATAGCTTATTAAAGTCTTTTTTTTTTTTTTTTTTTTTTTTTTTTTTAAGTTTCAAATAGCATGCTACCTGTGCTAAAATACACCCTTTGGAACTGGATCGCGGAAAGAGATTGGCAAAAAGAAAAGTGAAAAAGGGATCGAGTCCGATTGACAGATCCACTACCAAAGCCATCAATGCTCGAGGATTGGTAACTGAACTAGTTCCCATGTGGCCTCGTTTTTTTTTCCTTCTTTTCCTCCCCGAACACTGCCCGGGATGCTATCGGGGGATGATACCAGCACCCCCCAATACTACCCTTTGGCTGGTGGCTCCTGTCCGTTGGTGGGGTGCATCACCTGCTGGAAAATGGGTCCAGTGTCCCATTGAACAGTACAGATGAAAGAATGACCTCCCAGTACCCGTCAGCATTGATTAACCTGGGAGACCAGGGGATTGACTCCACGTGCTGTCATGAAATGGGAGCCCATGTGCCCACGGTTACACAGGGTAATTTAGTAATTTAGTATTGAAGTGGAGGACGAGGAGGAGGAGGACGGCAGGGGGG